GGCCCCACCCCCTGCTGACCTGCTGCCTGTTTGGGTCCCCCAGCTGCTCGGAGCCACGGCCATCGAGGACAAACTGCAGCAGGGGGTCCCCGAAACCATCGCCATCCTGACGCTGGCCAACATCAAGATCTGGGTGCTGACGGGGGACAAACAGGGTGAGGCGTTGCTGGGCGGGGGTCTGAGCTAGCAGGACGTTCGTGGGCTGGAGCCCACCTGCCTGGGGGGTGGTGGGACAGATGCTCCCCCCCGAGCTGACCCTGGCTCAGCCCCTGGTTTCCCATCTGCAGAAACGGCTGTGAACATCGGCTACTCCTGCAAGATGCTGACGGACGACATGACAGAGGTGTTCGTGGTCACTGGCCACACGGTGCTGGAGGTGCGAGAGGAGCTCAGGTGAGGGTCAGGGCAGAGGGCACGCGTGGGGCCGGTGTGGGGCATGTCTGTGCCCCCCTGAGCTGGAGGATCAAGGCCGCCTGACCCCTCGCTTTCTCCTTAGGAAAGCCCGGGAGAAGATGATGGATGCGTCGTGCTCCATGGGCAACGGCTTTTCCTATCAGGAGAAACTCTCCTCCTCCAAGCTCACCTCCGTGCTGGAAGCCATCGCGGGCGAATACGCCCTGGTCATCAACGGGCACAGCCTGGTAGGGTGCTGGGAGTGCCGGGGCGGACGGGGCACCGTGCCCGGCCGTGGGCCGTGCCCCCCACAGACCCCCGCTCCTCTCGCAGGCCCATGCGCTGGAGGCTGACATGGAGGTGGAGTTCCTGGAGACGGCGTGTGCCTGCAAGGCCGTCATCTGCTGCCGCGTCACGCCCTTGCAGCTCATGACCCCCCTTCTCGCCCCGTCCGTCCCCAGAGCAACTGCATCAAGACCTCCAAGTACAACATCATCACCTTCCTGCCTGTCAACCTCTTCGAGCAGTTCCAGGAAGTGGCCAACACCTATTTCCTCTTCCTCCTCATCCTGCAGGTGAGTGCTGGGGGGGCCGGGAGGCAGCCGGGGTCCCCCCTGCGCTGTC